TAAGGCTCACTAGGGGTCATCCCTCGACCCTAAAATGAAATCCGTCTCGCCTCTCAACTTACCATTCTTCTTGGAACAATCACTAATGAAGTATCCAGACTTACCACAGTTGTAACACCGTCTACCACCGGACTTGTCCCAACTCTTGCTCTTCTTCTTACCACCATCATCACTCTAGTTACTACTTGAATCACCACTATCTAGAGCTCTACCCAAACTCATCTGCTTAAACTTCATTCTAATCCTTCTCATATGCAACTCACCATTTTTCTTATCTTCTTTTTCAGTCTTAATCTCCATATCATTACTCCTAATGGAATTTATAACAATCTCAAGGGTTAAGGTATCTCTACCATACTTAATAGCATTTTTAACTTCAGGATAAGTATCATGTATAATATTAAGCAAAATAATAGCCTTGTAGGTTTNGTCAGAAATAAAAAATAGCATCCAACCACAGAAGCCTAACTTTTCACACACTTTCAACTCTAGAAAAGGGTAACGCAGTGAGAGAAAAAAATGCTAATACCAACTTGGTAACTTTACATAGTTCTAACAATAAAACACTATTTCCTACTCAAACTTCGTCTGATCCAGTCCTATGTATTTCACATTTTGTACAAGGAAGAACAATGAACTTCTAAACAAGATAAAGTTAATTTATCTTCCCTCATCTCTACAAGCTAAAAGAAACACAGCCAAGATTTAAACAAGAAATACAAAGTCACAATTAATCCACACAAAACAAGCCTAGATTCGCAAACATACACCGTTTTAGATTCCCAATGTTTCGTATATTCACGATCTTAGATCAAGTGAATTTTCAAACGGGGTAAAGCCTAGGTGTTCTAGCAACTTATCAACGCAACTAGAGAGATATCAACAGAACGGTTTCATTCACGATATATCACAAAAGATAATATGCTGTAATTTATCAAAAGAGAAAATTTCAATCGCGTGGCAACGAAGAGCAAATATTTTCTAATTTCTAGCACAAGCAATGGTTACCCCTTCACGGTAACCACAATCCTAATGTCACCCCATACGATAATACGCTAATGTTGGAATTTAAACGTGATAAGCCAATTTACCAGAGCGGACCCATCTGAGTCCGTAAATTACGAGAGATGCGAGTTTACTGCTTTACTGCCACAATTTTTAGCCTAAAGTAATTCAATAAATGTTTTACAGCTCGACCGTCATACCCACCAAGGGCAAAATCGTCTAACTTTTCCTGCGTAACCTGAAACACTAAAACGAAAATATCAGTACGTTCAAGATATCAAAGTAAATAAACTGCTAGAAGGAATCTCCTCCAGAAGACACCGCACGCGCCCTCACACACCGCTTACAGCCTCTATGCGTGGGCTTCGCGCGCCGCCGCCACCACTCGCCTGCCGCCCAGAAGCTCCTCGACCTGCTAAACGCGTTCGTGTACTTGGATTTTCCAACAGGTCACTGATTTGGCCAGAAAACGAGAATGAATGTGAGATTTTTCTTGAGAAAATATCGACAGTTTTCAACAGGTTTTCTGCTGATTTTGGACGATTTTTGGTCGAAAAAAATCACTACCTAATGCTCGGATACCGTATGTTGATTATTTCCTTCAATTGCTCCAAGATCTGGGCTCAGTTAATCAAGAATTGACCACCACAATCAACCAATTAATCTCCAATCCGAAACACCTTCCCCAAATAATATGGTTGCTCCAATTTGATAGCACACAAAGGACTAAAAGGTAGAAAGGTTACAGCCAAGATGATCAGCCACAAAGGCTAGGCATAGGAGAAACAAAAACGGGTCTTGCAAGAGAGAGGCACACAACCAAGATTGCACTAAGCAAAAGCAAGAAACCAATTTTCTTTTCCCAATAGAAAAGGGGACGGGTGCTACTTATTTTCACACACAGAATAGCAGAGAGTAGCTAAGATAAATAGGTTAGGAATGGGTTAGGCTTTTAGGTCAAGTAATAGGCCCAATAAGTCGGTCGAGACCTACAAAGTGTAATCCAACTAAAAAAACTGAATAACATCATAGCCCGAGATTTGTTGGGTATTGGGTGTCAAAACCCAACAAATCTCCACCTTGATTATCAATAAATCTTTAAGTAGCCAAAACACACAGTTTATACTTGCACAATAAAGGAAACCAATAAAATTGGTATCACGGACCTTACCTCGTATTTCGAACCTGAAAAATAACATACCTGCTTCATGTACTCACCAAGGCTAAGATCAAGTAGAATCAAGTAATCACAACAATCAATCAAGAGCAAATAAACATGGACGGAGATATCATATAGGACAACACAGATCTTTTCAGCCAGGTTCAATAGAGCAACAGATTAACACTAAGTCAATCAACAAGCCAACACATGTGCAACAAATGCATAACTGACCCCATGAAAGGATCTCACCACACTTATCATATCCCGTTACGTGTTGCTCGCACCTAGAGAACACATATCTCATCTCATCGCCCACAATACTCACTAGACTAATCACTCAAAAACACATGTCTAACCAGTAATCCTCTATAGATCCTAAATTTTTAGGATAATCCTCTATCACCACATCACTTTTCCAACCTAAGTGGATAATGGGTCTCGACCTAACAAAAGTGATAGAAGTGTTTCTCTCACACTCCACCTAATCGGGATCTTTTCTAGATAAAGGATTCCAACATTTGATCATCTCTCCACCATGATCCAAATGTCACACTCCACATCCCATGGTACAAACCACCAATATACCCCTAGGCATCTATACTCCACCTTACCAAAAAACATACACAGACACTGCTAATGCATTCCGAACCCACTATGCTTGCAAAAAACAACAAACATGCTACATATACAATCATTAGTGGGCTGTAAATCTTACAGTCCACTAACGATTGTACAAGTGGCTTTTTTTAATAAAAAATTACATAAAGTAATAAGATCACTACAATTCTTGTCAATCCACATATAAAATACATTGAAATGCAACATATAATCACGAAACTGAATTAAGCAATCACACACATGCAGAAAGGATTACATAAGGATGCAAATGCAGTAACTAGGGTAACATTTAATAAGGCTCACTAGGGGTCATCCCTCGACCCTAAAATGAAATCCGTCTCGCCTCTCAACTTACCATTCTTCTTGGAACAATCACTAATGAAGTGTCCAAACTTACCACAGTTGTAACACCGTCTACCACCGGACTTGTCCCAACTCTTGCTCTTCTTCTTACCACCATCATCACTCGAGTTACTACTTGAATCACCACTATCTTGAGCTCTACCCAAACTCATCTGCTTAAACTTGATTCTAATCCTTGTCATATGCAACTTACCATTTTTCTTATCTTTTTTTTTCAGCCTTAATCTCCATATCATTACTCCTAATGGAATTTATAACAATCTCAAGGGTTAAGGTATCTCTACCATACTTAATAGCATTTTTAA